ATTACCTTCTCATTCTTCACATATTACCTAATCACTTGATATCAGATGTTTTAGTATTTTAAAACGAATATATGGTCAACAAATTAAGGGATATATTAAGGCTTATATCAACTATATCACCAAGGTCGAATTCTTTATAGTCTTCAAAGCAGTATATCTACAATCAATAACTGTTCAAAATGGATTAGCTGGATTCCGCGGAGCTGGATTAATACCTTTTGATCCTCAAACTGTGATTTCTAAGCTAAATATCAAATTATGAACACTTATACCTAGCAGATCCTCCTCTGTAGAGCTCGATCCTTGGGTCTCTCAAACACCTCACAACTCGAACGATGCTCTCTCGCAATCAACCTTAGTTAAAAATCGAATTGCACAACATCAAGGAAGCTCTCCAAGTCCAATTTTTCAAACAGTAGCTGCATTAGCTAAAGGTACAGAGATGTTAGCTCATGAGGTGACACTTATGAATGCTGAGATTCGCACCCTTCGAAAAGCAAATGAGACATTGAGTAAACGTCGTAGAGCTAAAAAGAGTCGGATCCGTGAAGGAGGAGCACTTAGTGTACAAGATGGATGTGATATCATATTGCAAACTGAAGTGGATAATCAGATTCGACGCGACGAGCATCTAAAGAGGGGTAATTCAAATGGGGAACAGTCAACTTTACGTCGCTGTGGCTCTTGTGATAAAAGTGGTCATAATGTACGAACCTGTCAGGAGGATTTAGAAGACTCTAGTTTATCAGATTCCGAATAGTTTCAATTAATTTTAGATGTTGTGGTTGTTAAATAATAATTTGAAGTGGTTGAATGGTGAAAAAGTGCGCAGGGTCCTGATATGCGCAGGGTCATGATAAACCACGTTATGAAATAATATAAAAAACTGTATATGAATCTGAGTTACAATTATTTATACAAAAGGTAGAAAATGATTGATAATTATCCAAATAAAGTGATGGTATCTTGCCGAAGACAAAATCAGAAGAGTAAATTTCAAAATCATTGTATTATATTCCCGATTTTGATATCAGTATAATATCAATAGCTTTCAAAACAATAAATTTGAATACAAAAGATATTTGGATATGCTTTTGTAAAGGTTCAGCTGGTAAGGGTTAGGATTAGAGGTAAGGCACTTTAGTTGACCTCAAAATATAACAATATTTATAATTAACCTGGATTATAAGATATTAATTCTTTATTAGCGTATGGTTTTTTCTTACCAAAATATAAACTTTTCTATTATAAAATAATACCTTCCTAACCAGTTAATACGGTACTAAGAGAAAGAACCCTGCTTAGCGTATCCAAATTATTCAAAAGTTTGCGGCATATAGTCCGGGGTATGCCCAGTATCTACCGCTTCTATATAATCGGTCGATACAAGAGACCGATCCCGGAGAAATAGCAGATCTTCCATCACTCACTCGACGAAAGCCAAGAAATTCGCGTAAAAACTTGTATCTCTAGTTGAAATCCCAAAACCATGATCTTGGAGAAAATCTCGCTTACGAGAAAAGACACGTTACTAAAGTTTTTCTGTTCTATTTGAATATTATCCCGGTACTTAGTACTCGTGAATAGAGTAATCTTAGATATTATTCATAGAGTGTATGAAAATAATATAATTGAAATGACTACCGGTATTCCTTGACCTTGGAGATTAAGCTTGGAGATCAAGAGCACTTGGATAGTCTAAGTGCAATTCGGGGGCAAGGAGAGCGATTCCTTTTTATCGGATTATGGTGATTACTTTGTGGGTGCTACTAGTACTCACCTAGTGTGGAGCTAAGAAAGTAGAAATTTACTTATACCTTGATATCCTATGAAGAATCAAGACACTACCAATTTTTCCTCGACTAACTAAGGTTAGTTCCAACGGCATTTGATCTAGCTGTCGATCAATCCAAAAGCTGAATAGATCATTTGATTGGACGAATCTGGAAAGTGGAGTTCATTTTGGATCTATATCTATATATCAGCGATTTTGAATGATAAAAACTAAGCTGCATATAGTTTGGCTTCGTCTATATGCGGTTTAACTCAACCTCAGTCAGTTGAGGTAAGACTGTAGTGTACCCACAAGGTAGGTTACATAGAATCATCGAGATCTCGTAAGTTCTAGTAGGAAGTACTAGTAGGAAGTACTAGTGAAGGAGATTGATTGTATAAATCATACAAGAGTCCACCTATCTTTTGTAATAGTTTTCAAGTTTCTTCGCTTGCTTTCTTTCAAAAACATTCAAAACGACAAAATTCTACGCAAAATTCAATACATCCAAAGATAAAATATATTCCACTTCTTGATACTGAATATAACATCTGCGGATTTCGGCTTTATAAACAGAACAGATCAGAAGAACGGAAAAGCAAAGAAATAACAGCTACAGTAGCCCTAACATACTTCTCATAAATCACACCAACATTGACATCTTCAACATCATACCTTCTATCAAGTTCTCACCTCAACTCTCTCTAAAATGGAATTAACAAAAATGGAAGAACTGAAAATGGAAGACATAATGGAAGGGAAAAAATTGGAAGAAACAATGGAGAAAACAATGGAAGAAATAATGGAAGAAACAAAAATGGCAGACACACCCATGTGTTTCGTCTGCGAAAGGATGATCTCGGAACGGAAGAGGAGCGCGGATCGAGCTCAGCGGGACTTTCATCATCAACTAGAGAAATGGACTTGGCTAAATTCACCAAATTGTAGAGCCTTTGGTGCTTTCAGCCCAGCTGATATACCACCAGCTCCCACAGCTCCAGTTCCGCGTCCGCCCCTTTTTCGCTTAGACCCGAGCAGTCTTGAAGAATGTATGCTGTGCCTTCGATCTTTCTGCGAATGGCACAAATCAGAGGAAACCAACGGGATTTGCCAGATCAACCACGCGACTTATTGTCGTAAACATCCAGAGATTCCGGGGATCTTCCCCAGTATGGCGGATTTGGAAAGACCGAAAGAGAAGAAGAAGGAGAGGCAGAAACGGAAAAGGGAAGAAAGAAGGGAACAGGAGAATAAAAAGCCGCAACGTGAGCCAGCTCAGACACAGCTGGTAATGAGGTAAGTCTCTCCTTTCCGGAAAGAAGACATCGCTAAGTGTAATCTAGGTTGGTATATAGAGACAAGAAATAAGCAAAGATAATTTGGGAAATTTGGCAACGATGATTCACTGGAATGATTTCATTGAGACAAATATAGCCTCGTAAATTATCAACCACCAAACTATAGGAAGAGCAACGAGCGACTTATTATCGTGTCACGGATGAACGATATGATAGAGTGCCGATATGATAGAGTGCACGAAAAGGAACCCCGCTATTGCACGTGATCCTCCCGAATCGCATCGCGTCTCAATCAATCATCGCGACGCGTCTCCCCAACTTCCCCAACATACCTAAACAGCTGAATAACTACAACCACAAAAATGGAGTCGAACGAACCTACAATAATTGATCTCAAATCATCGTTTCTACGCGCACAGATTCTCGCACTTTCTCAACCTCTTCGACCATCTCAAGATTGGCAAGCTTCTATTCCCGAGGAAGAAAATACCTTGCGACAGCGCGCCATTGATGAAGCATTATTCAAGCTCAACACTATCCTAAAGCAGCATAATAAGATCAGTTATCCTCCGCAGGCACAGCGACATGTTGCGGAACAAATCGATCAATTATATTGGGCTGCTGGGGAGAGAGATGTAAATGTAAATGGAGAGGAGTGGAGTGAAAAGGGTGCGGATTATCGTAAGTTGGATCAATTGATGGATGTGTACATGGCTAATTCATATTCCAATTGGCAGGCTTATCATCCAATATCGAGAAATTGCCAGAAGAATGGAGCGAAGAAGCAGAGACGAAAGCACCGAAGCAAGCCACGAAATACAAAAAATTACAAAGTAAATTGTTGGAATTGAATGAGAAGCGAAGATCCGCAAAGGAGAGACTTGAACAGTGTAAGGCTGCGAAGAAATTACTGGAACCGTTTGATCAGGCGGATAAGAATGTGCAAGAGAATCTTGTTACGAAGAATGGTGAAGTGGAGAAAGAGTTGGAGAGAATGAGAATGTTGATGTTAAGAGTTGAGAGGGGAATCGTGGGTTTGGAGGGAAAAGATAGGGAGGATCATATGGATATTGATTTTGAGGAGGATGATAGGGAGAAATTAAAGTTCTTGGGGATCACATAATGGGGTTAATACAAACTGAAGGCGCAATTAGAGGGTTTGACGGCTTTTGTTGGGTGGACATGTTGTCTGGCACCCTTTGTTTTTATAATGTTTATACAGAAAATACAGATATTAATTAATGCCACTGATCCAACACAACACTTCGATTTTTATAAGCTCTAAGTTCAAGTCAAGTAAGATTACATTGCAGCTTCCCCTACGTACAATCACCTCCTTTCCCACAACCCCCAGGACTACACAAAATGAGTATTTACTGTATCAGTGTTCCATGTATATTCTCCCAAGGAAGTTTCCAATTTCACTCCGACCTTTCCTTGAAGCTTGACGCTTCTAATGAACCAATCAGAGGTGCTTGAATGGCTATTTACGCATCATACAGGGCACATTGTGAGTTGACAATTTTTACTCTTTCGTTTTGTATGTATTTTAGTATGTATATTACCTTTACCCACTTCTCAATGATCGCTATCTATGGGATTTTACTAATATGTCTTAAGATCTAAATCAAATAACCTTCACAATGTGGCAACTGCCAATAGCTTCCGTCATTGAGACTATATCTAAGATCATCCTGGCCCAATCTCAGCAAGTTCCCTATTCCGCTCTCTGGATCTGTAGCTGTGTTCGTAGACGTGGAATTTTACTTTTGCGTATCTGTTTTTGCTTTTACTTATCTGTTTTTGAAATAGTATCGGCGTTGGGGTTGGATCCGTGGTTGACGATTGTTAATTTGGAGAATGTGGAGTTGTTGAATTATAATGAATGTTGATACAAGGGACGATGGGGTCAAATTCGAGGCGGCTATCTAGGAGTTATCCTCGTATGTGATTTGGGTTAGTTAGCTTGGAGTTGAAGGTTCTTTCGATTATTTAAGGGGTCTTTCTTAGTCCGAGTCAATAAATATTTTTGCTTCTTCGGTAATGGTAATGTGTCTAATACTGAATATTTTGACTGGCTGATGGATAAATATAAAACTGTTCTTATACCAGTAGTCAAGATGTTTTGTATTCCATCTAATCAAGCTTCAGACCAAGTACCACCCCTATAGTTAGTCTTTTTATTTAGTATGTCCGGATGCCCAGTCTGTAGTGAGGCTACTCGTAATTAGATACTTAAACCTTAGAAGGTGTCTTCAAAGGATATATCATATAGTTCATACCACCTACAACCTATTTCAAAGTATCAATACAATTAATAATTAACATTCTAACTTGTTTTGGCACTCGCATATCCATAGCTTCCGAGCTTTGATCCCTGCACTTCGTCCTGCACTCGACCTCTACTGCTAGTATCCCTGTAAATTCGGATGATATTGATAATCCGCTTCAAGCGATGATGTCATCAATGTGAACTCATATCAGAGTAACTCTCTTATAAAACACATATCATAGTCTCACAAAATCCAATGTGCATACAAACTCTCATAAGCCAAAATGCCATTTCCATATAAAACAGTAAGTCGCACGACATCCTTCCCTCTCGCACAACCTTACTAACACAACAAATCAGGTTCTTGTCATCGGCGCCACCTCAGGTATCGGCCTCGCCCTTACAGAGAAAATGCTCTCTCAAGGCGTTACCAAAATCATAGCCCTTGGTCGTCGTCAGGAACAACTCGATGATCTACAAAAGAAACATGGGGATACCAAAGTATCTACTGTGCAATTCGATATTACGGATCTTGGAGGTATTCCTGAGATGATCGCTGGGTAGATTATTATCTCTATTCACATTCAATTCAGTCTTTCATTATTAACCATGATTTTACAGAGTTCTCAAATCCCATCCTTCTCTCGACTGCGCATTTCTCAATAGTGGTATTCAACGACCTCTTGATTTCACCCAGCCCGAATCCATCGATCTCGATTCAATATCCGCAGAATTCACCACTAATTATCTCTCCTATGTCCATCTTACCAAAGCTCTCCTCCCACATCTACAAACACGAGCTTCGGGGGGTGAAAACGCAGGATTGATCTTCACAACCAGTGGATTGGCATTAGTACCCATAGTCCGATGTGGGAATTATTGTGCGAGCAAAGCAGCGATGCATCAATTAATATTAGTAATGAGAGAACAACTGAGAGGAAAAGAGGGTGGTAATAAAGGGAAAGGAAAGGGAGTAAAAGTCATAGAAATCTATCCGCCATCAGTTCAGACAGAACTGCATGATGAGAAATTTCAGCCGGATATTAAGAATGGGAGGAGTATGGGGATGCCGCTAGATGAATTTACGGAGGAGGCGTGGAGGGGTTTGGAGAGGGGGGATGAGGACATTCCGGTGGGAACGACGCGTACGAGGTTTGGGTATGAGGGGGTGGAACTGGAGAGGAAGAAATTGTTTAAAGAGATGAGGGAGAAGATGAAGGGGTGAGGGGAGGGGAGGGCTTGGTGTTTGTTGAAATGTACTATCTTTGAACCTGTAAGAACGTTCATGTTTCTTTTGAATCCCAAGTTACCTTGATTGCGAGACCTCAGCCTCATGATCTCAGATGTCAGCGTCCGTTATCAACTCGACCTTCTCTACTACTCTACTCCACAAGTTACCGAAACAACCCCCAACGGTCTACCCACCCAATTCTATAAATACCGGCGTCTCCTCTCCTCGAATATTACTCTTCCCAAGTTTCAACGCACAAACAGAAAAACGAATTTGAACCATCAAGGTTGTCATTTACTACCGTACAACTACTATAAACAAGACCTCACTCACTTTCATAACGAATCCCTATCAATTTTCAGTATGGCGATATCGATATATTTGTATATCCAAGTGAGCTTTTGTGAAACTAGACACTAGACTTTCTTACACTTCGATGATGATGATTTTGGGTTTCGGTGATGATAAGTCTTAAGTTAACTATGGTGATAATACGAGTAACAGTAAATGGAATGCACATTAGCACAACAATACAATACAATACACCATTCCAAGTAACGTAATATATTTCAAACAGATCAGATCCCTTCCCTTCCCTTCCATCCATACTCAACCTCTTAGCTTTCACTCAATCTTTGGCGCATCATGATCTCACATCTCGCTCCTCATCTAACTCCTCTACCTAAAATGATAATAAGTTAATAAATCTCACAAACACCACTTAGCAAATGCTTTTATAAACTACCTAGTATACTTCTATAATCTCACCATCCCATCCCCTCACATCACTTACCTACCTACCTACCTAGAATTAACCTAACCACTGTCCGCCAAAGAAAAGGCTTACTAGATAGGTATATTTTCTCGTATATAAACCCCTCAGCCTCTAGTTTATGATATGTAGTTAGTTATTAGCTACTGGGCATCAAGCGTTCTTATGTTCAATGCTGATTGTTGAAGGCGATGCTGAAATAGATGTTGTGGTTGATGGATGATTGGATGTATGGAAATAGGTAAAGATATCATTTTGAACTCAGGAAAGTTTTGTTTTGCTGTCGTTATTTTATGTATTTATTGATATGATTCGAGAGTCGAGTTTTTTACTAGCAAGAAAGAGACTGAGTAGAGATTCTTATTTGATATGATGGGATAAAATAGGATCAAATGACAGCGATGATATATACTAACTAGTATATATAAAATATAAAATTAGAACAATAAATACTTATACAGAAAGCTCAATTTCCTTTCCATTATCAAAGTATTTACTCGAGTATATATCCCATCAAGTCCGCTATTCCAATATAGAGCGATATACTCCTATACACTTTTACTCGTCAAATGAAATCCCTTCATCCTTTGCATTGTTCATATATAATGATTCATGGCTTCTTATACACAACATTGATTATGCTATTTACTCGAGTATACCTCTTCAAATATAAAACTAGCATGTACCAGAACTCAAGAATCAAGAGTCCACACCAAGATTAAGCGAAGGGAAGCTCGGAGCTGTTGTTTTATCTTTGGTCTAATGTTGTGATATCTACGAGTATACTCCATTAAGTCTGAGTGGAAACTTGAGTGGAAACTTGAAGGGTAGATTTGAAAACAGCCAGCCATGGGTCTACTCCAGCCTTGTTGGGTTTCTAACGTATGATGTGATTGCTTGTAGTTTAATAGTTATAGATTGGAAGGGTGGTTGAGTTGATATACTGGTAGTGTGGTATATAAAGAGCAGAAAGTAGGAAGTGGAAATTGAGATGTGAAAATGGAAGGGTAAATATGTCCAGCCGATTATCTGCTAACTGGATTTATATCAATTAATCTATATCAAAAAAGCGGAGATGCATACCGGTACTCGAGTATATTGAGAGATCAAAAGTACTTTCGAGTCACTGAGTGCAATATTCTCTCTTTTTGGTGGGTCTATAGCTACTCAACCACACGTACGTATATAAGGATATATATGATGATACAGCAATCACCACCCAGCTATTTAGAGTCGACTCTGGGGTGGTCAGCACAGCAGTCCAAAAGTTCATATAGAGATCAAGGCTGATCAGCCAGTCAGGAAGTTATTAGGGGAATTTATATCTTGACTCTAACTCTCTAACAATACCTCATTTCTTTACCCTCACCACTCATCACTCACCACTCAGCACTCACCACCCATCATTCATTAGCTTCCCCTGCCAAAATGCCAAATATTCACACCAACCCAGCCAAAACATCATCATCATCCTCCTTCCGAGCCCAAACCAAAAACACCACAAACAAGCATCTCAGCATCTCAGCATCTCATCACACGCTACCCCTAGATGCTTTCTCTCAAATTTGGAGTTCACTGTTCAGTGACTTCAGTGACTTCTTGAGAATAGCCTTAACGTCCAGTATATAATACCATCCCTACCTCAGATATATGCAAGGCGAATCGAAGCAGAGAAGCAGAGAAGTAGAGAAGTAGAGAAGTAGAGCAGCTTTTATACAATATTGAAACGTCAACACCGCTTTATAAAGTCTTTTGATTGAATTTAACTTGATAATGTATGTATGTATTGACTTGGCTATTGGTTTGATATTGGTTTTGGGTTGGTAACTTGGTGTTAATATTGATATTGATGACATGTATAATAGTAAGAAATGATACAGATACAAAAGGTAAGGTTAGTGATGCTGGTAGGGATACTTGATGTACGTACTGTACAAGTGAGATTAAAAAAATGTTGTTAGGAGTACATGATATCTGACACTTGATACTTGATACTTGGCATAATGCGACATACTGCGATGTGAAGATATATGATGGTCTTCTTGTCAAAGTTGTGCGATATTATACAGGTATCAAGAAATTGAATTTGATACTGCTTATAACAGCGAGTTGCCATCGATGTCGCTGGCTGAACTCTGCTCACTTATGACCGCCAGACATATAGTAAAATGAATAATAATTGCACATATCTAGCAAAATGTATGATAATTGACCACGAGAAATCTCAACTCGAGTCTTACCACAATAATTGAAGCTGAAGTCAAAATAGAAAGCACCAAGATACAACAAAGCTGTTTACTCAACAGCAGTACAGTAAAATCTAACCCGACCTTTACCGTTAACACCCGCTCTACCAATCCAGCAATCCCACACTCCCTAACCAACCAACCACCGCCCAGCCAGAATATCATATATATTCCCCAAATCACTTACTACCCTCACCAAACATATCCCCGTGGTACAGTGGTATACGCCTCCGCCTAAGCCATAGTAATCGGGCCAACTAGGGGACAGCTTGGTACAGTCATTCTATAGTACGAAGATGATTGGAACATAAGAGCTGAGAGGCTCTTAAGTTTTGCTATTTTGTTTTCTTCTTCATTCATTGCCTTTGTGTTTTTTATTTTTGGTTTTGTGAGTTGTTCGGTTCGTGAGAACTCCATGTTTTTTTTGTGGGGCTGAAAAGGTTGGCGACGTTGAGGTGGGGGAGGGTGAGGGAGCGAGGTTATTCCGAGGCCGCGGGAGCATGTGGATTGTTAATGAATTTTTGGAGAGCTTCGATTGGGTATGTGTGATGGTTTGAATGAAGGGCTTACTTATTATCCTTATTTGATAAAGTGAGGCAACCATTACTTAAACGTACAAAACTTTACGAGTGCAACAGACATACTCATGAAGCTCAGAGATTTTTATACGTTGCTTCCCCATGTTATTGATAATCTATGGATATACTGATTTTAGCACAGTGGTATCGTATCGTACCCGAATACATATCATTCAGAATTAAAAAAATTCGCCCATCACGTCTATGTTTGGCATGTTGCAACAGTGAAAATAGATGATAGTAGCAACCGTATGATCATGAATATCAACGGTGATACGTCGCCTCATGAGCGGCAATTGAGAGTCACTCAAAGACGAGTCAGAGTCCAAGTTCAGCATCCCTATTTTCAAAGCAACGGAAGTCTTTCTCGTATGTGCTTATGAAAGCGGTTTGATGTACTCAGTAATCGATAAACACAACCGTTTAGGCACTATTTCTCTTCGTGTTGCTTTTATCCAAAATAAATTACGAATCAGAGCAGAACGACACATTGCATTGCTACGGCCAGATATCGAGGATCCACTACTTCTCTGATACTTCTACCAACTAATCATTGCTCACATTATGACCAGCTACAGAAACAAGTTGTGAAACTATCGTTTTCCACCCTCTTCAAGATGCTCATTTTGGAGCGACCAAAATAACTTATCAAGCAACCAAGAGCCTCATGTCAGGTATGGGCCATGATCTTCATGATACCCACGGAACCTTTACTGTCACTACCCTCTACAATCATATATGACAGTTAATCAATAACTCATGATGACAACACATCTGGGTTTCGACGATATTGCGCTCTGCAAAATACTTATTTCTCCAGGCTATGCGATCAAGAGCGTGCAATTCAGCCAACTGGTCTTTAGAAGAGAATACTGCAAGCATTGATTGATACATTGATTGATTCGGAGTAGGTTACAAGCTCATACTACTCTTGTTTGAACAGTTATATAAGATTAGAATTTCCTCTTGCCTCGGCAATGCTGAGAGGAGCAGGGAGAGTGAATACAAACAGCCACATGGAAAAGACTTGCTGTGCAGAATAAGAAGAAGCATCATGAAAGAAAGACAGGTCCCAGACTGAATTAGAGATATAGTTCAAGCTTGTAATATCAGATCTCCTATTAAGAAGTCCTTGTCCCTCACATATCCACAGGCAATCAAAGGGTGGTTCATCTAGCTCACTGTGAACAGATGTATCTATGATTTTTGATGAGGCTGTTCTCACTTTGACATTCTTCCCACTTGGAACATTCATCCCAAAAACTTCAGATGAGAACATACCTATTCAGGTAGGTAGTGAATAACAAAATGGAAATGAGGTTTTTGGGTCTGTGCCTCATACCTCAAAAGACTTTCCCCTCCCTCAACTTCCACTTCCTCTCTTTAAACTCCACCACCCCGTGACCCGGAGAAACTAAACACCGAAACAGCTCAGCTCACGCCCGGACCAATCATGTCAAGCCCACCTCAATCCCTCAAGAGTTTACAACTCTCCCCCAAACCTACCAAGTACGATCCCATTGTAACTCCCAACTCCGAGTTAATTACTGGAGCCGTTGAATACCCAACCCGAAAGTCAAGTCTTGCAAATTTACCCGCTGACAAAAAACCTACCGCCATGACTTCCAGATTGGTTCTCGTGATTGGTGATTTACACATACCAGACCGGGCCATTGACGTTCCCCAAAAGGTAATTTTCTCCCACGCGATTGATTACTTTTACGATTGATGAAACCAAACACTAATCAATTGAATTTACAGTTCAAGAAGCTTCTCACACCAGGAAAGATCGGCCAAACCCTCTGTCTCGGAAACCTCACTGATCGCCAAACCTACGACTACCTCCGCTCCATCACCCCCGACCTCAAGATCGTGAAGGGCCGATTCGACTCCGATGCGACCTCCCTCCCTCTTTCCCAAGTCGTCACCCATGGATCTCTCCGCATTGGTTTCGTCGAAGGATTTACCATCGTTGCGCCCAACGAAGTAGATTTGTTGACGGCCGAAGCCAATAAATTGGACGTAGATGTATTGTGCTGGGGCGGTACACACAAGTTCGATGCATTTGAACTTGACAATAAATTCTTCATCAACCCAGGAAGTGCGACTGGCGCGATGACAACGGGTTGGATGGAACCTGGAGAGGAAATCATTCCAAGCTTTTGCTTGATGGACGTAAGTTCCCTTTCTATTGATTACCCGGCGCAACTGGCTTAGCTGCCCTTTCCGCTTGCCTACTCGCTGCGAATCACATAACGTTTGAAATATCGAAGCTAACACAAACACAAACCAGGTACAAGGATTAGGCCTAACCCTCTACGTATACCAGCTCCGAACCAGCGAGAAGGGCGAGGAGAGCGTCTCAGTTGAGAAGATATCCTACACCAAGGTTATTCCCTCGACTAAAGCCACTGCATCCACTTCCACATGATACCCATTTGATCCAGCATTTAACGTTTGCGAAGCCCTTTCTGTTCTTGCGGAATACAAAAAGTTCTTTGGCGTGGCGCATTTACGGGGTTAGGTTAGGGGTTTTTTACGGATATGATTGCATGACAGATATGACAATGACATAAAGTGGACGGTTATGACCAAAGAGCTTGACTCATAAAGTCCTGCCATATTCATCCTGGAGGGTGAACGAATGGAAGCCTACTGGATTTTTACATAGAGATGCGCAAGATACCACCTCGTAATTCAATCACATTTGTAGCACAAGCTGCACAATCAAAAAGTAAATTACATGAAAGAAAGAACTTCATTGATATCATAATTCGCTTCATAATACGAGTACTGAAAGGAGAAAACAACTAAGACTATTGTGCGCCAGTCTCCAAAGGGTATGCGCATAGCATATCCTATGCAGAATTGCTCCAACCTCATTACATCCAATGACTCCTACCTGATCCAATCCAAAGGATTCGATTCGATCCAACGAAAGAAAAAAAAGAAATTAAGAATATTTTTTAAACCCAAACTGATCATATCGTAACAGACAAGTCAACTCATATCATCATACTTCTTCTCCTCGCGGACAATCTATCACTTCTAGTAGCGTTAGCTGCACCTGCCATGCTCGTGCTGCTAACCGATCTTCTCAAGGATTTGTCGGAGTCTGTGGTGTCTCTTTCCGTTTCAGTTCCTGCCGCCACGCGCTTCTTACTGAAGATGACAACGCCGATTGTCTTCGCCTTGACGCTGCTGGTAACGGCGCTGGTTCTGCTAATGCGGCAATTCTATTCCCAGGTTCGGAGTCCCGTGTTCCGTTCAAATCCTCTGCCGGCCTAGCCGAAGCTCTCCTAGAAAAACGCGATGGTGCTCTTCCGAGTTTCTCCTCCTTTATAACTTTTGGTGCTTCCTCTACATCACGTTTGGGCGAACCTTGAAATTCATAAATATCCATATTTTCAAGGGCGGCTTTGATATCATCGCCTTTAACAGATTGTTCCTTGGACTTTGCTTTCACTTTCCTCGACTCCGTAAATAGCTCTGTGACTGATTTAGACGCCGGCGCTCCAGAAAGTTCAGGATCTGTAAGATGCAGGATCGACTCGCGACGTCTCCTGTGATCTGCGGTATTGCTTGATAGCATATCGGTAACAGGAACAGAAGTTTTGCCACTAAGCGGACTTTGATCTGCTGTTGGTGCGGCGGATAACCGTTTCCACGTATCTTCTGCTTCGGGCTCTGCTTTGATCTTCCTTATTGTCGTTGGGCCAGCCTCTCCATCAACTTTGACAGCACGCGCTTTTTCATCAGCTGTGACGGCATTCATGAGCTCTTTCCCTGGTCGGCGCATTTTGTCTCGAAGATTAGGCTCTGCATAACTGACTGCTCCCCGAGCTCTCCGGCTTGGTCGTTGGCCTTCATCAGACTCCCTGATCTCTGAAGGAAGTGGCGTATCCCGAGATTTCCCCCGCAGAGTAGTAGACGGATGTGATGAGAGGGGTGAAAATATATTGACTGGCGCAGGCGTCTCGGGCTCCTGTTGTGTATTGGAGACCTGTGCGATGTGTTGAACAGGCTCAATCTTTCCTAAATTATTGTGCTCAACCGTAATTTCTTTCGACAGGCACTCTTTGAACATGTTCAGCTTTCCTGGGTTGGCGCCATCGTAACTCGAATTCCTGGTGCTGGTGCCTTTCCTGGGGGAATTGTTGACGCTCTTCGGAGCAAGAACCTTTCTGGTGTTTGGAACCAACGCCGGCCTATCTTTAGACAACTCTTTAGAGCTCGCAATATCCTTCACTGGCTTTGCGTTTTCTTTGGCGGATGAGACAACTGGTTTATTCTTCATCCGTTCCTCGGATGATACACGTGTAAATTGGAAATCGTCGATATCGTCGGATTTTCTAAATTCCACTTCCTCGTCATCTCTGGCGCTGAGCTTTCGTTTTGCACCAGATTTCAACATTCCTGTGTTCTCCTGTGTTATCTGGGAAGTCTCGGATCGGTTGTTCCTTTTGAGGCAAGAAACCGCCATTATACTGTCTTTGCGCTTCTTCCTCTGCCCAAGATTCGTTGACGTTATCGGGTCCAAATAAGGTTCATCTTCTTTCTCGCTGACCGATTTGTCGGACAGATCAATCTTCACAGGATCCTCGTCGATAAATCGTGATACAGGTGGCGGGCCAATTTCTGGCGAATCCGCAGGGTCTGCTAGCGCCTCATCTACCATATTCTGGATCTCTTGATGTCTGTCTATCGTCAGCATGTAAGACTTCTCGGCATTGAACGAGTGCACAACTTACTCCAAAGTTCTCCTGGGGTAATACTTATTTTCCAAGATGGGGGGTAGTTTGCCGTCCGGGCTACCAAGGTCTTCGCTCAACGAAATCATATTCTTCCTCGGGGCCATCATGTGCTCGGGACTTGCACCATCCTCATTCAAAGGAGCCATGTTCTCCCACGTTTTTTCTCGAGGGCTACGAAGAGGATTTGAGCTCGATCTTAAGCCACCAAATTGTCTTGGGAGATTTGGTGCCCTCTTTTTCCTTGGAGACTCCTCTCCTAAACCACTTATCAAAGCCCCAATCTCTAGCAATCGCTCTTCCAGCTGTGACTTGACTACATTAACCCTGTCCGCGACTCTTCGAGCCTTTCCATTATCAATCTCGCCTCGAAGGCGTAAATTTTCCTCCCGGAGCTCAAGATTTTCTGCGAGAAGTTTGGAGGTTTCATTTTCAAGGCTTCGGATTCGAACTGCTTGCGAGGAATTGACAGATGCGATATCACGATTTTGTCGTTTGTACTTGCGCTTCACTATGATTGAATCAGAAAGGTACATCTTCACTTTTTTGACTGCTATGAAGTGAATCTTGTTAACTCACGAGATTCTATGGCCTCCAGCGAAACTCCAGGCTCATTCAAGCGGGCCATATGAGCTGGCAGTGCATGCGGCACAAGAAATATGATTTATTGTAGATGTGAGAAGATTGATGTTGATGTTTTATTATCTTGACATGTTTGGCAACTACGACGAGGAGTTTGTAGAAGATATCGGTCGGGGTGGGTTTCCAATTGTTTGTGTACAGAGAAAAATTAGCGTGGGATTGATTTGTTTACATTGATCTCCAAAAGGTTAGACTCGTAACATTGACGCTAGTATCAAAAAGGTGGATGGATCCGTGCATATGATTTGACAGGGCCCGCATTATGGTTGTTTAAGTTGTTCATGAATGGAGAAAGTTATTTTATATCAATTCCAATTAAAGTACAAGTACAAGTATAAGTATCTAAGTACTCTATTCATCTCTCTTCTCTTTATTGAGATCTAATATTTCAAACCTCGGTGCGAAGTAAAGTTCGCAATAATGTCATACTCATCTCGACCCCTCGGTTCACATTTACGGCAGCCCTCCATGGGTGGTAGTCTAAACTCATCCACAGGCCAATCCCCCATCTTACAGGCGCGCATCAATGAGAAAAGGGCAGAGTTGGAGAATCTGAAGCAATTACGAGATTTGAGCGCAGGATTAGCGGGACAGATGCAGATGTTAGAAGAGAAGCTATCGACTCTTTCGGATGGAACAGAAGCCGTCGCAACAGTGTTGGGGAACTGGCACAATGTTCTGCAAGCCATCAGCATGGCATCTAGTAGGTCATAAAGTACCCCTATATCTACTGCAGACTTCTGATGATGACTAGTGAAGATACCAAAACCAAAAGAGTCAAATAATAAGGAAGAAGAATCAGAAAATAGAACAGGGTCCGAAATACCCTTACCCCAAACTCTAGTCCGAATACCCACAGAGCATGCACCAATGCTACAGCCATCGACAAATGAAGAATAGAATGAATGCATGTCATAAGTTGAGACGTCGGAAGTTGGTAGAAAGCACATGATCATGACCATTGAAGGGCACATAGGGCAGAAATGGGGTATGAGTCTTAATACCAATGGTAGTCCCAGTATGGATCGTGTTTATATGGGAATGGCTGGTAGAGAAGCAGCAGGCCTTTTGACGATGATATGATTGATGACAATGAAGCAGAGGTTTATCGAAAAAGGAGAAATGTCGCAACTCATGAAATTTGACAACATGGGGTTGTTTCCTGAATAAGTAAGAGATGAGAAATTGAAAACTATTCATACGAACAACAATTCGAAAGGCTCATCTCGATTCATTCTGGATGTATTACAGTACCGGTATTTGTTTACACCGGAAATGAATGTATTCAGCTTCAGCTACTTATAGCTTTCTTTCGTCCAAAAATAGCTGCGACGAGCGTCCTACACGGTTGCGCCTTTCTTCAGCTCTGCCGGTTGCTATGGTGATGATTTAAACTCACAAACGAATGTGAGGGGGAGGAAGTCGCATATTGTAGCGAGTCAACGAATATCTTCATGAAAACAATTCTCGCTGTTTTGACATTTCACATAATCGATAAGATACCTCTGATTTTGGAAAATTACATCCCACTTCGTACTACATTTCTATTGACTTTGCGAATACGGAATACAAAATACGACTTGTCACTCAAAAAGAAGGCAATTTCCACAAATCCTTGCAAACTTATTGCTTCTCAATCCCCAAAATCACATCTAATCTCCGAGATACTATTCGACAACGATCTGCAACTTCTGGGCCATCTGTGACTTTTGGCAGTCAAGATGTCTCGAATAACAAGATCAACCAATATCAATGTCACTGAGGATAATACTGCATTCATTGCGGCCCAAATTCCACTCCCGTTGACACCTGCTTCAAATGTATTGGCTCCTTCAAACACACACATATTGAACACCACGGCGGCCCATGACAGCGAAGACACGAACATCGCACAACATATGAAAAATCTCAAAGCTGCATATCGAAGTGCTCTCGGCATCACGAAGAAAAGCAAAAAGCACAACAAGTATAGGACTAAGGGAAAGCAAGAACTTTCGGCAGAGGTAGAACACACCAAAGGCAATACCCAAGGAATTGAGAACGTCGAGAATATTGTCCTTCCTCTGAGGTCTGTTGAAGCTACTCCAGATACAGGATCTGTCCCAGGAATCAATGCAGGCCCACTTGATGGTCGCTCTGCAATCTCAATGTCGAATCCAGAGCCTTCAATCCTTCGAACTGATCAATTGAGATCCGTACAACTTCCTACCATGGAACGAGCTGTCTTGCCTCAGCAGCTACCGTTGGGACGAACCACTCGAGGTCAAGTAGCAAGACAACAAGCAGGTCAGTATGATGATGATGTTTCATTTGCTAGAACGGCTGATACTGGAGACCCTTTCTGGAAATCACCTCAACCCTCCGGTGGTCGTTCGTTTCCTTTCCTCGGTTCCCAAGTACCTTTTGAGAATGGAAATCTCAATTCACTGAGATTTGAATATAATACTAATCCCTCTCATGCTTTAGCGATGAAAAAATATGATAAGATAGAGACAAAGGATGTCGAGTCTCCAACATCAAAAAGACTCCAACCAATCTCGAAGGAGAACGACCGTCCAGCTGGTTCTATTGTTTTCCCTTTCACAAAGCAAATCAAAACACTGGAGGAAATCGAAAGAGCTTGTCAGGCTCAAGAAGCAGCAACTCCTACCCGCCATTCATCTCAAGCCGACTTTGAAGAGGACTCTTTCATTGACATAATCATAAGTCGATCGCCAGCTAAACCAGTGTCTCGTATTGAAGACTCTTTGGAAGAGCTTGACAATCTGGAAGATGCCATAGATGCACTCGATGAAGCTACCCTCGCCGAGAAATTCGTTGCTTCTTCAACTAAGAAGGTCAATATTTCAACTGAAGCTTCCCCTGACAGAGAGTTGAAGGGATCGCCCCGACGAGGAATTATTGAGGAACTTTCTGCCACTGGACTGCGTGTGTGCGTGCGCGGCTCAGTTCTGTTATCTCCACAGAAACCCAAATCCACCTACGCAACAATGCGTGTTAAGCCTACAGCAACCAAGGAGCCGATCCTTAAGAAGGCCAAGTCTATGTCTTTCGAAAATGTGAGACCGGTCGCTAGTCCAGAGAAACAAACAACGATATCCCCGAGCAAAGTATCACGCCCGATTAGTCTCCTTCCTCCGAAGTCACCAGTCAAATCTACGAAGCCACCCACTAAACCATCCTTTGAGCTTCCTGGTGAGGCCATTGCTAAGCGGTTGAAGGAACAAAGAGAAGCCCGTATTGCGCAGCGAGAATCGTCTGAAACAACTGTTGTCAGAAACACTCCAGGAAGAATCAAGTCCACCAAGCCACTCACCAAATCCTTTCAATTCGAACTTCCTGGAGAGGCATACTCCAAACGTAAGAAGGAGGCACACGAGGCGAAACTCAAGGCTCAGGAGGAAGAGGACCGCAAGAGACGTGAGTTCAAAGCCAGACCCATGAGCAGATCTGTTGCTTCTCGTACGCTTCCTCGCGATACAGCCGCCAGTCGTGCTCGTCAAAGTAAAACTGGTGGTGAAAGCTCGGATAGCGGCAGTTTTGCTGTCAGTAAGCGTGGCTCCCTTGTTGGTGCTCATCGTCCATCTATTCTCGATATGCAGAAAGTCAATGTGACTGCATCATCCCCACGCACCAAAGCTTCACCAGCACCTCTTACGCGCAAAGTATCCTCTCATCATCATGTACCTCGCCTTGCTATGCAACGCACTGTCTCGGACTCGGATCAAGAGATGCAGCGTCAGCGTGCTAAGGTCAATAGAGATTCTATGTATACGGCGGAAATTGAGAGGGAGAAGAGAGAGCGTGAGGCTGCGGCTAAACGTTCGAGGGATGAGGCTGCGGAGAATGGTCGTCAGGCTACTCGTGAGTGGGCTGAGAGACAGAAGGCTAAGAAAAATGTCGAGACAATGGGTGAGAAAAGCGTGGAATCTGTCACTAGTCCTGGTCCTCAGTCTCCCGCTTTTCTCTAGAAAAAGGCTGAATGTAATTTTTTATCCTAGCTGCAGGGCAGGATCTTCCATCGAATTGAACCATCTTGGGTGGTTTCCTCTGTCGGGTTTTGTTTACATGGTTATTACAAGCGTATTGGGAGTTGCTATACTCTATTGTCGTTTTCATATCAGTTTTGATTTCTCATCAATTCTGGTTCGACACATTCTTTTCTTCAATAATTTTAGGGATCTGATATTTTTCAGGTTGGGTGGAATCATTCTTTCAGAAACAAACATTCGTTTGATACCCTTCAGGATGGGCTTCGGAGTTCAAAAGAACATTGTTAGTGTTAGGTTATGGTGTACGGCATATGCCACATGGGGGGAATATCAAAGTGCTTGCTTGCTTAATGCATAAAGCTTATGGGCGAGGTATTATTGTTAGGATTAGGACTAGGACTGGGACTGGGACTGGGACTGGTTTGAGGGCTTGATAGATACCATTAGGATGGGAGGGGGATGGGAGTGGGTTATGCGTTATTGGAATGGACAGGACAGGACAGGACAGGCTGGGGTTCCTTGGCTTTGTGGGCGAATATATCATACGATGTGCGCTTTGTATCGATAAGTACTCGTAGATTATTGAACAATAATCAATATTCAGTAATCAGTAATTACCATTTCTATTGAAGATTCTGGGAAGGCCCCTAGGGGCTTTGCTGTATACTCTGAGTAGGTAGGGCATGGTAATATCATTACCGGTATTCATGCTCACAAATGATGTAATCGACTCAAAGATCAAGAAGGCTCCACCATTACTCGAGTAGGAAAGATAAGATACTCATACATACTACTCGCTTGGACTACTCGCTTGGAATATAAATACTCCTTGTATACAGTAAGTAAGTACACTCACTAAATATTTTCAAATGATCGGAACTTTAACTTTCTATGGGAAGGATGATTTGGGGAAGGGAGAGGGATAGTGAGGGATGGTAAGGGTGAAGGGAGAGGGGTAGTGAGGGGTGGTGAAGGTGGTGAGAAATGGTGAGGGTGGGGGGGATATAGAGGGGAGAGAGGAAAGGGAGAGGGGTGGTAAAAATGGGGAAAAAGAGAAGGATAAAGGAGTAGTAAGGGGTAGTAAAGGTGGTGAGGGTGGTAAGGGTGATAAGAATAATAAGGGGAGAATATGGAGGGGAGAGAGGAAAGGGAAAGGGGTGGTAAAGGTAGGAAGAGAGAGAAGGGAAGAAATGAATGGTAAAGGGTAATTTTATATTACATAAATATCACATATTGTTTGATCAGTTACTGATTAGTGAATATCAGCAAATCAGTGATAATAAAGTGATTTCGTCAGTCAATAGTTGATATAAATAAGTTCGCTGATGACTGACTGACTGACTGATTGATCACTCTGTTTGTCTAGGTCTTGTTATTCTTGATATACTCGAGTATGGAGTAGATGGCACATAGTCCGGTTTGGTGTCTGGAGATGGTTGTGGGTTGGAAGATTAGTGATAGCGACATTATATATATATTTGTTGGATCGAATCCGATCGACAATGAGACGTTGGGTAATGGTAATGGCGATAGTGATAGAGATATTATTTGATAGATAATAAATAATAGCAGTGAAAATATTGAGGGCCGGTCCTAGTACCGAATTATCGAGAAAATTATCTATCCTCACTTCAATAGACTTGCAACTTGCATGCCACAACTGATAGTACTAACTATTCAAATCATAACATCACAATAAACCTGATTCGATATCCATCCCACGAGTATATATATCCCCTCCTTCCCTTCCCTTCAAACATCAGGAATTTTACAGATGCATCTTTACGACTACTCCCTGAGGTTATCTGATTGTGGATATACCGAGTACCGATACTGTGAATAGGTTTGGAGAACCCAATGTCCTTTTAGTTCTCATTATATATAATTTTTATTGCATGTAGTCTCTGATACTCATCTCCTCAGCCATCTGATTCTAAATAACCGACCACATGACCACACGACTAATTCAACGCTATTCAAATTCAAATGGCGTAAATCATAAAAACAACAAACAGCGCAACGAAATGTAGTGAAGTCCGTTGACAATAGAGTGTAAAATCGCGAAATTAAGCAGTAATATCATACAAAGAAGCAAGATATTACATTGGCTATTTTCCTCACGACTGAACTTAAACCGAGCTGGCGATCAATATCCTTTAAGCAAAAGCAAGAATATCTGATACTTGAAATGAAATGAAATGGGATTACTATGGAATCTTTGTGCACATTGGACAGACATAAAGTGGTAATTGCTTCAGTTAGTATGGGGGTAAAGGAGGTAAGGTGTGTGTGTATTTATGTATTTATATTTTTATGTTCCTGTTATGCTTATGCTTATGTTTTCAAAAGACAAGGAAGATAATAAAGATATAGTATAGTCTTGAGGTGAATCCAGTTAACATCATATACTAGGCTAGGACTGATGCCGTGTTTGTTGGGCATGAAAAATCCCTTTTTGCTGGAGATACTCGTGTATAAATATAAAACAGGTAAAACAAATTGAAATACTCATACCATCCTATCCCATCGATTGAGAACTTCAAGTTACTTGTGGATATGGTGTTCTATTCTATGCTAATAAACTCCCTTACACCAAGTATTCAAACACTAAAGAAAAGGAACACAATCAAGAAGAAGAAGATAGACGGCGAACGGCAAAGTATATCAATGATGTATATCATATGTGAATTGAACGATGACAAGGTGAAGAGCAGTAATGACAATGACTTTATATGAATCGACGACTGAATCATGGACCTATCTATTACTTCTGTTACTTTTAGCCCTTGAGACTTCGGCGCATGGGCATTTAGGCTGGAGAAGATGGTAGTGGAAAGGTGATGGATAGTGAAAGTAATGCCTCGGTCTATTTGGGATTTATACTCGAGTAGTGTCCTTCACAAGACAAAACAAGGCAAGGCAAGGGCACGAAATATAGTTTTAATAATTTCAACTATACAAGAGGTAATAGTAAATTATGATTCTCTATGCCAGGAATTTTCAAACCAGATTATTATCACGAACCCTTTTGTTTGAAGAACTACTCAGTTTCATAGAAAGATTAGAGGTATACAGTATGTAAATTTTGCAAACCAGCACGTTTCTAGAGTCTAAATAGAGTTTAGACACATAAATAATAATAAATACAAGTAAAAATCTGAATTCGGCAGCGATAGTTTACAACCAGTATCATGAAAAAAAATTGCGCAATAATTATCAGGAAGAGATAATAATGAAACATCCATTATATAAACCGAGTCCAGACTTTGGACTTGCCATACGGAATAAGATCGATGGATTCATAAAAATACAAGTTATATAATGCTCTTGTTTGTTAGTAGTAGTTACTGTACCGAACATGTATCTGTACCCCAAGGCTTATTAATTCTTCTAGTAATTTGTCATGATTTTAATTTCAAAAGAGAAATCTGTAGAAAGAGAAAGAAATATAGGAGTCTGCGGTAACTTCTAGAATCCAATGTTCTCTAAGGTTCTAAATTAGTAACGGGGTGGAAACTGGAAACTGGCTTCAAGTTAGTTTGGAAGGTGTGAGAATAGAAGATGAGTGAATACTAGGTAATGAATAAAAGAATTGATTATTTATATAAAGAATCGGTTGAGATGTAGATATCTATTGTATTCATACCCAATTTTCGAATAAGATTTCTTTTTAAGGTCCATGGTACTTCTAAACCTATAAGGAACATCTTTAGGTTTGTACAATTGTAGCCAGCTTGGCGATGTTGATGTGTAGAGGAGATATCATGAACTGGGATTTGTAAGAGAAATATGGAGATGAAATGATAGCAACGGCCTACTCATCACGATAGAATCGGTGATGATATGAGTGCCCGGATTGACAGAGAAATATGAGCCGCAATGGAAGCGTTACTGGTAAAGCAGACAGACCTTCACTTGATGTAGTCCCTTCTCTGGAGTTATCTCAGAGTTCTTTTTGTTTGAAGAAGAAGAAGATATTCAAGCAAGCAATCTACCATATTACATTAGTCCCTTGGTAAGAAATAAACTAAAATAAATCAATCGCCAAAACTAGAGCCTCGTCTCCTGTGTGACAGCTTGCAAAGTTTACATAACCACAACTCACTCATGGACAGACTGTTCAATCTTCTCATTACCGCACTATTATTGCACATCGATTATTATTTGATCGCGGAACAGAGCTCTCAACCCACCTAACGATATGAAACCACCTCAGACCTACTGACTTGCACTATCCAAAATAAATTTCATCACGCCACCGAAATCCTCCCAAGCCGGGTCTTCTCACAACCGTTATTAGCGCTCAAAATTTACTCAGGTCGTCTCGCCCGGCCTCAACCATATCCTCACCGGGATACATCAATCATATCATGCCTGGCCAATTGACTCCGATCATATAGCTCCCATACCGCCATCTTCGCCCGGCAGATGTAGCCCGCTGTTGCTAACTACTAACCATATAGTGTGGGGTACATATACCACATCGGTACATTTTCCGCGTACGAGAAAGTTACTCCATCGAAGCACAACTGTACAAGTGACATACCTTAGCGCCCGACAGCAGACCCCAGACAGACCCGATGAACCCATCACTCGGTCGAGATCTAGGCCGATTATATTATACATCATCCTTCATGTTCATGTTCATGTTCATATTTGGGAACCAATGCAGTACCCTTTGGATTCATGCATACAAGTATCAGAACGTCTCACTACATTTGGCATCAAAAAAGAAATGATGATAACAGGGAACCCCCACGTTCTTTTTCCATGTGCACTTGCACTTATATTCTCAAACACGACAGTCAGTTTATCTGGAATGGTGTGATGTGCAGCATAAAGCAGCAATCTCTTCAGCTTCATCACGAGAACAACAGATGCTGCACATAGCAGACGATGCAGATAGGTGTTGTGATATGTTTCCTTGCATATATCTTGTATATGTATATGTATGCGCTGTTTTGAATGAAAAGCAGAAA